TATCCACTTCTATGTTGCTTAGGACTGTAAATATAACACTGTACCAAGCAGGAAATCTAGGTTCTCATAGTAAAGAACATTTACAGCAAATTACACACTAATCTCATTCCAAAATTCATTAGCAATTGTATATAGCAAAGCTGTATTTACGCTGTAGCTAATACATTATTCACATATCTGCATGTAGTGTAGTGTCTAATAAAGCAAAATATTTCAAAATTCCAATATGACCGGGGAACATAACATATAGAACTTCACAAATGTTAAGAAAGACTGCGATTGGGTAATAACACATACTTCTATAACATAATACCTGGTTATTTTATAACAGAACAATACTTTATGACAGAACAATACTTGTAACATTAAATGAGAACAATAACTCGTAATTCTGAAACAGAACAATACCTTGCAACTTTAAAAGAGAACAATTTTGTTACTCTATAAAAAAATAACTCATAACTATAACAGAAAAATAACTTATAACTTTAACATTATAACTCATAAAAGAACAATAACTCACGACTCTATAACATCATAATTCAAATATCTATAACATAACCCCATCTCTACAACCCCCTATAACCCAGGCAATACCATGAGGCAGACCAATGCTTCACGGGTTCTGCACAGCTTCTGGTGGCTCCTCGTCCTCACCCTCATTTACTCATACTCGGGGACCCTCATCGCCTCCCTCACCGCTCCTAAGCTCGTCAAGGTGAAGTCCTTTTGCTCTAACCTTGCAGTAAATGGTAATGGAAATGTATTTTATAAATGTATAAATGTAAATATAATGTAAATACTCGTAATATGTTTTTTTTTTAAGGACGGGAGTAGCTGAGTTCATCTTCATTTCAGTAAATTAATATAATTTTGTCCGGATGGTATTACTAACACAAACAATAATTGTTTTTAAATCAAAGAAAAGGCGCTGCAGATCCAATACTTTTTTTTCAATTATTCCTTTACATTTCAATCGTTTTTAGAGCACATGCCGTTATGTAACTGAATATTGCCCTTTTGGATAGGAAAATATAAAACAAAATCAGTACGACCTCTCCAGATTGCCGATTCGCTGGAAGAACTGGTGAACCAACGGGAAATTCCGTGGACAGTCAAGCGAGGATCAGTCCACGAGACCTTGTTCGTGGTGAGTCCAAAACAACTAATCATTTCCGGTGATTATTAACGCATATAACTGTCGATTCGTACCGATACCATGCGTGTGTGATGCGCAGATACTCTCTAATTCATTCAGCGTATCTTCCTGGCTTGTCACGTAGCGGGCAGAGGCGGGAACTTACGGGAAAGTTGGCGATTTGTTAAGACGTCGGCCCAGCATTATGGCTTCGACCAACAATGGGGGCGTGGATATGGTTCGCACCGGGGATCACGCGTTTATTAAGGTAAGCTTCCCCGTGCTCGTACTTATTTATTATCAGTGTTTTCCCTATTATCAAGTGTTTTATTGTACCATAACACATGTAATAAGTAATGTCCGTGCTATCAAGTGTTCTATGTACCATAACACACGTGATAAGCAATGTCCGTGCTATCAAGTGTTCTGTGTACCATAACACACGTAATAAGTAATGTCCGTGCTATCAAGTGTTCTGTGTACCATAACACACGTAATAAGTAACGTCCGTGCTATCAAGTGTTCCATGTGAAAAAAGCACGTGGAATAACTACATTGTCAACAGATAAAGTGTATAATTTTTCTCTCTTCTCTCGTGCAGGATATGTCGTTCCTAAAGGTAGCAATTGCCACGGACTACAAGAAGTGCCAGTGCTGTAAGTTTTCCTTAGCGAGGGAGACTTTCTTCAAGTCTTTCTTCGCCTGGATCATGAAGAAGGGGTCGGTCTACACGCAGGTTATCAATGCGAGGCGAGTGACACGAAGGAAAATTCTGATGATGAGAGAAATAGCAATAAATAACATAATTAATGATAATGAATACGCTTTAATGATGTGCTGATCAATATTGAATTAATGGTGGCACTTTGATCTTTTTTTCAGATTTTTGCAGTATGAACAGACTGGATTTTTTGCGAAGTGGCAGCAAGAATTTTTCCCTCAAGACAACGAGTGTACTCGTCCGAGTCCAAGAGGTGAGAGAGAGACAGACAGACAGACAGAGAGACAGACACACAGAGACAGAGAGACAGACAACAGAGACAGAGACAGACACACAGAGAGAGAGAAAGAGGGGGATGTTTCGTCCTAGATAAATAGGGGTAATGAACGCAAAAAATAAAAACGCAAAGCAAAATCTCTTCTTGAAAAGTCCCTTATGAATATACCATCCCGATATATTCACAAGTACAGAATTTAGTGTACAGATATTAATCTACTACTTTCCACAGGTCCGCGTAGTCTGGGCCTCGACGATTTAGTGGGATGCTTCACACTCCTTGGGACTCTTCTAACGTTAGCAACCATCGTCTTCGTTGTGGAACTCCTGGTGAACAACACTACCCTGTGCTTCTCGTTTCCTCTGACGTTCTTGCCGAATCCAGCTCTGAGACGTCCGTGTTCACAGGAGAAAAGGGTAGAGATGCCACGCAAAAGAGCTTGTATGTTCAATGATGCTTTTCGAGAGAAGAAGAGGGAGTGTACGAATCCAGCTCTTAAGACGTCCGTGTTCACAGGAAGAAAAAAGAATAGAAGTGTCACGTCAAAAAGCTTGTTTATTCACTGATGCTTTTCGAGAGAAGAAGAGGGAATGTATACGTCATTGAATCTTGTTTGTTTGTTTTTATCTACGGGTTTACAGTGATTACCATATCCGCTGTTGATAAGCTGACTACCTGCCGTCGAAAGAGTGAATGTGATGTGTGTTTATTGACTTACAAAAATGTTCAGTAGAATAACGTACGTAGGAAAATCTGATAATGGTATTGTTATTACGTGTACATGATGATACGGAAAAACACATTTTGTATTTCCGTTTGTTTTGTCGACATCGCCTTTGTGATAAGAAATGCCTAATTAAGATAATAATATGAGAATGCTGTAGATATAATATTAGTTGTAACATTGACGATTGTTGGTTTACAATGCAAGTGATGATTAAAATGATGCGCAACAGATCGACACCTTTGTATTAATGGGCAGTCATCGAATGAACATTCATGTCATGGAACCATTTTTTTTCTCTAGGCCTACCTGAATGTTATTTCTAAACAATAACCTGGATAGATCTTATATTCTGGATTAGTGATAGATTATCATTTTTTTTCAACTGCATAATGAAATTTTATTTTATTTTTGTAACGTCGATATTGTACCTTGTTATACATTAGAGAAATGTGTTTCCATTGCTTAATAAAGTTGGTTCTGAAATATCAAATAGATTTTAGAAAGAAAAGATTCTGTATACAAAATAATAATTACACAGGTGACTAAAAGGATAATATCGCTAATATTGTAAAAGTAATCAAGTTGACGATGATGTTAATAGTAGTAGAAGTATCATTAGCATTTGCATTATAATTTATCAATGCAATTACTGTCACATTTTTATCCTAATCATTGTTGCTATTTATTTTCCTTTTTATCACTACCGTCATCGTAAGGAATAATTGCAATCACAATTCCCATCTTCATATATAAATATCTTTCGCAACAAAAATGAATAAAGAACTTAATATTGATGATAACGCTGATAAGGTACGCAATAATGATGGTAGTTACGATCAAGATGATCAAATGTTAATGAGAATAATGATAATGAGGATGTATATCATCATAACGATAGTGATGATAATGATGTCAGTAATGAGAACGAGAATGACAGTATTTACAATAACGATGATGCTGTTAATGATGATAACAGTAGTAATGATAATAATGATTATAACGATGATAATAATTGAACACCATAATGATTATAAGAGCTATTATCATCATTAATCGTAATAGTAGTATTAAAAACAAAGATAATTGATATGAATGATAAAAGTAATTATCACAATAATAGTAATAGAGATAAAGATAATGATCATGATGATGAAAATTATAAAGATAGTAATAGTAATAATAAAAGAAATAACAGAAATGGAACAAGAATCAGTCATCCAATAGTAATGATAATGATAATAGTGATATGAGAAATGAAAATAGTTATGATGTCAGTCACGATGATAATAGCAGTAATAGTAAAGATAATAATAATGATAATGATAATAATTACGATAATGATAATAACAAAAATTATAATGATAACTGATAATATGATAATAATAATAGTAATAATGATGATAAAGATGATAGTAATGATGACAAGGAATAAAAATGATAATAATGATCATAATAACAGTAATAATGATACCAATAGCGATAGCAATAATAGAAATGATGGTGAAATAATGAAAATAATGTTAATTGTAACAATATGAATGATAATGATAAAGGTAATAATGATAATGATAATAGCAACAAGAATAAAAATGACACTGATAATAACTGTTGATAATGATATTAATGATAATGGTAATAATGATAATCATGATAATAAGATATAATGATGATAATAATGCTGATGATAATGACAATGATGATAATAATTTCAATCATAACAGTTATACAAATGTAAATAGCAATGAGGGTATTCATGATGATAATAATTATAATGATAACTATGATAATAATGATAACAGAATAAAAAGAACAACAAATACGGTAGTAGTGGTAGCAATAATAATAATAATAATAACAATAATAATTATTATTATTATTATTATTATTATTATTATTATTAGTATTATTATTATTATCATTATTATAATGATAGTAGTAGTAATAATAATAACAACAGTAACAATAATAATAACAATGATAATAATGATAATGATAATAGTAATAATAGAGATTATAATGATGATGATGATAATAATAGTAATAACAATAGCAATAACAATAATGGTAATAATGATAATGATGATAATAATAATGATGACAATAATGATAACAAGGATAAGGATAATTATCCATATTATCATCATTATTATTATCACTATTATAAATGATAATGATAATGATATTCATAATCATAATCATAATATTGATAATAATAATGATAATAAAAAGATAATCACATTAACATCAATAATGATGATATTGGCGATGATAGCAATGATGACAATCATTGTATTCATTATGTATTTTTCGTAATCTCTTCATATTTTCATTTTTGTTATGATAAGAATAAGAGTAAGAATTGCAATAGTAGCAATGAAATAGCGCGAAGGTATTGGTTCAAACAATATTTATCCCATTTGACTTATAAATATTCCAATTTAAAATATTGTCAGTGCAACGAAATGCATTGTTTGTTTACAGTATCCTAGGGATTTTGTATATAAAAGTTTACGCGCGTCATCTCATCCAAAGTTTTCAAAACATTACCTTTTGTGATAATTATGACGCTCCTCTTATGCATTCTCGTAATATATGTATTATTACGAATTTTACGTATATTGATAATGAGAGCAGCTCTACTCTAGTTGTGTTTTGAATCGTGACTCTTTAGCGTCATGGTCCCTAGCAAGCAATGGCAGAGGTGTGTTTGATGGCAGACGGGCGTTGAATGAGAAACAAATCTTTATGTAGCAGTTTTGGCGTCTGGGAGGACTAACAGATTATGATGAGTGGGTCAGTTCAATCCTATGATTACGGAGAAACTTATGGAAAACGAGTTATTACTTACGAATTTGTCATATACGAATATGGTCACTTTTTTATTTATGATTGTGTTTGTTGTGTTAATTTTTTCTATTTATCGTGTACATTTGTGTCATGGTTTGAAGTGTCTGGATTTAGCACCCTATGATAAGAATGGGGAAGTACGGTAGTTGTTAAGGTTTATTTTAGGACAGAAATGGTTTTAATTCGCCTTATTAATTTCATAATAGGCAGTGATATCAATAATCGTATGCCATAAGGTAATGTCTTTGTTACCATTGCGATGTTGTTTTTCTTTTTACCATTTGAGATCTTGACATTCACAGTGTCGCTGGAACTTGACAACAGCATTTAAAGCCTTGTACTATTATTAAATACTTTTTTCCCCAGGGGAGTGTTAATAATGAAATTGATTATATAACAGGAAATAACTACTCAGGAAATAACTAATCTGGCATCTAAAGGCCTTGATTCTGATGACATGTAAACATCACCATAGAAAATAACAGGAATAATCTGATATGAATTTTATAGCTGATGTGTAATGTGTTTTTATAGTTATTTTTAATTTTGGGACAGTATTACCTGATTGGCCAATCTTGAGATATGTTGTGTTTTCACTTTAGCTGACAAGATAGTCGCAAGAAAGTAGTAATTGGTTGATAAAAGACGTCTACTGGCAAGAGATATTTCAGCTATTTGGGTAAAGTACAATACTACAGCAGTAATAATTGGAGTGGATTCAGTAACATTAGTGGCGCTCAGGAGAATAGTAATATGAATTATAGGTTTAAAGTAAAATCTGGTGAGGATGAATGTATACCTAACAATGCTGTTGTTTTTATGTAAGTAATTTATAGCCATAGATTAATCTTAAAAATAAAATTTCTAGGTTTCTCAATATGTAAACTATTTTGCATTTGCGTGTATGCATTGTCCATTGTGGTTTTATTTTATTGATTTTGTTTACACTTAGATGGCTTCATAGGCACCTGGTCACCAAAGATTCAATTATTTCAGGTACCTGATATCACCTGTTTAAATGATTACTCAATTTTGGGGGATTTTTTTACAGATGTTATTTTGGTTATCAGTATTAGTGTTATAATTATTGTTATTATTGTAACATTATTAGTAATTGTAATATGTATAGAAATGAAAACTTTTCTTCCCTAAAATTTCAGAAATGGGGTAAATAGGTTAAGGTAGCTAGACTCACATTGGTGATCAAGTACTGCGAGAGGCATTTCTTTGTAGATGAACAATTAAAACAAAATTGAGGTGGGAAATATCAACAGGTTAAACTATGTTTCATCTCATTGTCAAATTTCCTTTTATTTTACTGTTACTTTCAGTGTGATTATTGAACTTACAGGTGGTGATGGCAGATGTGATCCAGTTTATCAAAGAGGATCTGTCTTTTACTACAAGAAAATGATTGCTTCAGATCAACTGTCTGGGTAAGGCGAATAGTATCATAGCAGTTTGAGCTTCATGTAACATGTTAGATATATTGTTTAGTTTTCAATGCTTTATTTCAATATTTATAGGCTAAGTTAGATTATTTCAGGCAAGAAGTGATCTTGAATTTCCTCAGATAGACCAGAGAAGCTTAGATTTCTTTTTCTTTTTCTTTGTCTATCCTTTCCCATGTATAAGATATAGTATTTGTGAAGTGAGCCCCAGTATCTACTTCCATTTAACAGATGATAATGATGGAAAAAACTTTTGTAGTCCACATGTTTACACAGTGACCATATATGTGTGTGTGTGTTTGGGGGGTGGGGTAAGCATTTGTTGACTTGGTGATGTTTACTCATGAGCATGACATGTAATAATGATGCATAGGTTTTTGAACTTTGATAAGTGACTACAGGCTTACCTTTGCTTTCTGCTAGTTGTTATCATTATTTTTTTTTTCTTTCTTTCTTTCTTTCTTTCTTTTTTAAAATTTAATACTGCTATTACATTGTATTAATTCTGTTGTAAATGATTACTTTTCTTTCAAAAAATGTATAGTTACTCATTAAATTATTTAGACAGTGCATGATTTTATCACAGAAGTTGACTATATTGTAACCATTCTTTTATTAGCAGAGTGCAAAAGACCTCGGCAGGGTACTCCTATAGAAGGGTGCCAGTGGCCAGATCTCCCACCAGAAGGCTGGATGCTCTGAAAGAAAAACATCAGGTAAGACAATAATATGTACACTGTATTTATGAAGTGTCATTTAACTCATTTAATGTCGGGTAAAAAGTTTGGCAAGTGGACACGATCTTCGGATTATTGGCGCACATTGATAGTTTCCTATGTTTGCACCTGGCTCATTCATTCATACATTAAGCACCTAAAAGCTTGTATTTTAATACAATTTTTAAAGGTATAGGAATTTTTAAAGGTTTACCTTCACTTTATGTGCTATTGCCTGAAAGTTTTACCATAGAAATGATACCACTAGTTTAGTAGAAAAACAAGCTCCATCTGAATGGTCATGTTTGATGCCACCCGCTACTTTGTCCACAGCAGCCATGGCATGTACGTATATGCCACCTGGTGGGATGCAGTTAAACAATATCTCCAAGAGATTTTGGGGTTTGCTTGGTGTCCACTCCAGGGAATATGCACGGCTGACTGGGCTTGCCTCCGGGTCCTTTTTCAGACACATATGGTGCATAGCGCTAACTGTGTTACACCAAGAAAGTGATGTGATATATATAGTTTTTTATCCCTTGTATACAAAACATGATTTCCGTAAAGAAGGATATATAATAGTCTCTACCATACAGTAAAGTATCAAAGCTGGGAGAGGTGCAAGCAAATTGTACATGGTATATTAAGCAATAAAATATGGATTTATGTACAGAGATGAAAGAGGGGAAAGTATTGGGAGATTTTCAGAATAAAAATATACAATACAGTATCATAATTACTATTCCAAACTTACTTGTTCCATTCATAACAGAAAGAAAGGTGGGAATTATAACCTTATGATTGGTTTAGGGAGAGGAGGGCATACTATGGAAATGAGGTTATGAAGATGGTATGGTTGTTGTGATTGGAAAAAACTTGCCAGGCGGTATCAGATTTAGCCTATTGGTTGAGATTCCAAGTATCTCATTCATGGCAAAAAAAAGGATGTGAAAATAGCCCTGCATTTTTTGATACCTTGTTAAGATGAATGCAACAATAGTGGTGAAAGGAACATTAAACAAAAATGCAGCAAACCATGATTGTGGCAAACAGGACTTTAGGGGTTAATGCTTCTTGTGGGAATACAAAATAATAACCTTTATTTTATTCCCTTTTTGTTTTGTGTTTTTTAATCTGAAAAGAATAAAGAAGGGAAAAGAGTGTGGCAGACTTGATACATGTCTAAATTTCAGATGTTACTGGAGTCAATGAGAAAGCAGTTTAACATGGAAGTGAGTGTGGATACGAGAGAAACAGAGCATCTTGGAGAGGAATCAGTGAAAATTGCCAAGAAGCAGGTAACGTCATCCAGAAATTGCAAACCCTTATCCCAAGGACAAAGAAGTGAAGCTCAAGATGCCAACGTGACAAAGAGAGAAACCAAAAGCAGCAGTGAAATTCAGTTAGACTGTTATGTCAAGCTCATTCCACTGAGAAGTAGTCCACGAAGAAGTGCGAAAAGTACAAAGAAGGAGGAAGAAGTAAGTACGCAGGATATTCTTTGCCCATCATTTTTATGATTAAAATTCAAGTGTAAATTTGAGAGTATTAAGCCGACAATGCTGGGGACAGCATTAACATACATGCCATACCCACTTAGAGTTTGGTTCATTTATTGTTTTTATACATAGATGGCTCCACAAATACTTAGTCACCAATGATCCAAATACCAGTATTACCTATCTCACCTGTTTACCCTTTTCCTTGATTTTTTGGAAATATTTTCTTTTGTCTTACATTCCTGTTAGTTATGTTAATAACAATATTATGTCATTATGTTTACAGTTGTTGATAACAGCATTAATGTTGATAGCATTAGTATAAAAAAAAAAATCTTGTAAATTCAAGGAAAGGTGAAATCAGGTGAGGTCAAGAGGTCAGTTAATTGACTCACTGATGGCTAGGCCTAAGCACTTGAAGAGCCATCTATGTGTGATTTTACAAAACAGTACTGCAATGAACACTGCATTTCCCCGGCAGCATTAGGTTAATCAAGATCCTGGTTAACCTTGATATTATTTGGATATTAAAAAGCATAGTGAAGATAGATTCTGTCAGAATAGTGTCAAAGGAACAGTTCTTCAGTGAACTAAGAAAATAGATATAGCTTTGCAGCCATCAAAGCTATTTTGATGTATCACTGGTTGCCTCCTATGTACTGTGGTAGATACAACAGGTTTCCTATCAGTAACTTCCTTTTAATAAGATCTTATCAGAAGCACTTGTTTCTGTTGTTATTGTTATTATTATTGTTGTTGGTATTGTTATTATTATTATTTATTATTATTGCTATTCATATTGTTATTATATCATGTTTCCTCAGAGACAATATGAGAGCCATTTTATCCTTATCTAAAAGCATTTGATTTAATATGTAAAATCTTAAGATAACTTTTAAAGTATCTAGTGGACTGTTTACATTTTGTAATGATTGCAACATCAGGAAAGCTTGAATATTATGCCACATTAGTATAGGATGGTTCTTGTATGGTTCTGTATTGTAATGATTAATAGTATTATTATTATCATTATCCCTGTAAGTTCATTAGATTTCTGAGCCAACCAAACCTAGCCCATTGGCCATGGGTATTTGTACTGTTTACTGAATTTGTGGGAATTTTGTTGCTCACAGATGGCTTCACAAGTACTCAGAGAGTCAATTTATAGGCCGTATGGGACCTCACCTGATTGAATGAGGAAATTTCACTTTAAAAGTATTAATGTGAAAAAAATGTTTATTAGAATTTCACTTAATGAAGATGACTTTCCAGGTATTGGCAACAGAAGTGGTCCACCTTGATGTACCAAACACCTCTCCACAGTACAAGAAAATGGCTGATGTAGACCAGTTTTCAAAGTAAGGAAGATCCTAAAGCTAACAAGTGTCAGGCTTTGCTTTCGTTTGTTTTGTTTCTCAAGATCTAGTCATGTCTGATACATTTTAGTTTTGCCTTTAGTAATTTTCTTTGGGTTTGTTTCCTCTATTTCTCTCCCCAAATTCTATGGTAAGCATTGCCATTATTTTTTTTATCTGTCTGTCTATCTGTATATAATTCAAATTGATGGTGTGAGGAAACAGAATCTCCTCCTTAATAGGTGTTTGTGCAACTAGACAATAAGAAACAACAGGCAGAGGATGAAATTTTCAGAGACACTAAGAATCAGGCCTTTAAATGTGGTCAGGCCTTGTAAAAGGGACTCTGAAAGTGTTGAAATGGGAAGATTTTTTTAAGCGAGGAAATTTAGGCTTGTTAACTTTGTGAAATGAAAGGGAAGTGAAAGAAAGAATGGAAAAGTGTGTAATGTAGGAAAAATGGGGTGGATGTAAAATGATAATTAGTGAATGAAGGAAGAGAAGGTATGTGAAGTAGCTACAAAGAAAAGAAAAGCTTTTGAGCACTGTTTAAGTGGCAGTAATGAATGGACTTATATACAGAGAAATGAGAAATAAAGTGATAAGATGTTGCAAGAGGATATAAAGAAATGTTTGAAAAGAGTTGAAGTGTTTAAGAAATACATTCATTAGTGTGTATACAACAGACAGGGGAAGTGAATGTGAAAGAAGACTGACATTGAAGTTAAATGGGGAGATGTTGGAAGTGGGGGGGGGGGGGGAATTAAGTACTTTTGGATTTCATGTGTCAGAGAGTTTGAGTTAGGTGGAAAAAGTGAGATATAGAATGGAAGAGGCAGGGGAAAAAACTTGGAGGAGGGAAGAAAAGAATTTTCTCTTTCTTGATCCAGATAGAAAGAGGAAATATTGTAGGTTATAGAACCAGCACTTCAGAAAGTAATGATTCATAGTAATCCTAGTCTTAGTCAGCAAAGTTATGAAAACCATCATTATTACTTTCCTTTTCTTTTGCATGTATCTATTTTCTGTTCTTCCTTTAGGTACTTTCATGTTATTTGTTTACTACTATATTTTACATTATTACTTTGAATCATATCTATTTTTGCATGGTTTTTAAGTTATGACAAGAAACAAAATTGCTTTAGAAGATTGCTGCATAAAAATGTATATGATTGTCATAAACCTATATAAAAGTGAAAATTCTTTTATTAACAGATTACCAAATACCTCACCAGGGAATCCACAGAGACGGGTGTTAGTTCCCAGGTCTGCCACCAGAAAGTCAGGTGCTCAGAAAGAAAAACAGGTAAGGGAATAGCCATTTGATAGAATACTGAATTGCATATAGTAGATGTTTTTCCAGATTTTGTTTATTTGGTTATTACAAGTCTGTAAATCTGTTCCTAGATGATCCATAGACAAGCAGAAAAGACGCACAGTATCTTTTTTTTCAGTTATCAGAATTGAAATCTATTGATAGCAGAGAAACATACAAAGAGGTTCATAGGGAGAAATCAGTGAAAATTGACCAGAAGCAAATAATTTCATCCAGAAGTTGCAAATCCACTGCCAGTGGACTGAGAACTGAAGCCCAAGAAATCAACAAGACAAAGAGAAGAAATCCCAAAGGTGCTGGGAAGGAGGAACAGGTAAACACTGTGAGATACATGTTTTATTGAATATTATTGCTTGTTATTTTCTTTATTATTTTTTTGATTGTTACTTTTGTTGTTGCTGTTGTCATTGTTATTGGTATTCATATTATTACATAGGACATTGGTTTATTCCATTTATTCCTTTTATTGATATACCCTTTTATAAGTCCCACTATCCTTGGGGTAGAGCTCTTATAAATAAAAGTAGTTGAACTCCTGTTATTTATATTATCAGGCATTGTTAAAAATAATATGAGTATATTTCGATAAATTCCTGTAATTCAGTTTCTGTTCTCTCATACTTCAAATCTCTTTGGATGCTCAGTCTGCAGAGTGAAAAAATTATTTCCTGAATAAGGATGTAGCTAGGGTGTCCCAAAAGTTACGTCAGTATAAGCTGTTTAGTGTAGGGGATGCCTCATATTGTGTAATGAAGGTGTTTCATAAGTACTGTTTAGAATTTAGACTTTTATTAGCTTTAATGGATTCTCTATTGTCACTGTAATACCCAGCAATAGCAGTCAGTGCAAGTCAAGACACATTGTATCTCACTTAAGATTCATACTAGTAAGATGCTACCTAGGCACTGCTGGTTAGCTTGAGTCAAAAGTTCTAACAACAATCAACTTGTCCCTGGGTCCAGGAGTTGGTTTAGGAATTCACACCTTAATGCCAAAGTCCAATAGACCTATATCCCCCATAGGACTGAAAGGAACTTACCACCCATGTTGTTTTCACTTTGCCAAATGCATAGGCTATCACTCTATGAGGCACACTAGTATTGCTATATATTTGTTTGTCATTATTCTTGTCTGTGACAATGCTGTTATTACTGTTGATACTTTTGCTTTTATTTACTATTTCTCTTGGCCCTTGTAATAGCAGCATTGTATATTTGTTTGTCATTAGTTTAGTCTGTGACCATATTGTTATTACTGTTGTTATCATTACTTTTATGTACAATTACTTTTGTCTTTTAACTGATATTGAAGATGCTCACCTCCATTTCTGGGTTTACCTAAAGATTAGGAAAATAGGGATGTTTGGTCCTAAAATCAAAATGATTGTCCAATCTCTTTTCTTAGGTGGTGTCAACAAATGCAATGAAGCAGGATATGCCAAATGCCTCAGTACATTACAAGAGAGTGGCTGTTACAGAGTAAGTTTTAACACTGATATTTCTTCCTTTGTTTTTGTCTTGCATTTATTAACTGAATGCCACTGTGAAAATTTAGTGTTTGCTGTCATGTTTTGTGAAATGTCTCTACCCATAGTGGCTCCACCAGCAAGGAGTCGATTAGTATACCTCACTGATTTCACCTTTCCTTTAGTTTTCAGGGTTTTTTTTTTTTTTTTTTTTATAATGCTATCAATATCCTAATTGTTATTATTTTATAAACATTATAATTATTATGATGTGATTAACATTACTAATAAAAATAAGATGGAAAAAAAAAATCCAAAAATCAAGGAAAAATGGGGTGAACAGACAAGACAGGTTAAGACAGGTTATACTAGTGACTAAGTGCTTGTTGAGCCATTTATGTGAAAAGACAGTTGAAAAACTAAATTCACAGTGGGTATAGCATGTACTTTGATGCTATTCCCATGGTAGCATCAGGTTAATATAGCAGATTTTAATGTGATTATTCTGTCAGTTTAACCTGATGCCACTGGGAATGGCATGCAGTACATGCTATGCCCACAGTGAGTGGTATAGCATGTGTTTACTCATGATCTTCTTAATGTAATATAGATCATAAGTTCTGATGCACTTGTCTTTCACAACCAACAGGGTTCAAAATGCATCAAGAGGACAGATATATCGTCAGTGGCCTACAACTGTAAATTCTCTTAAAGCAACACATCATGTGAAAGAAAAGCAAACCGTAAGAGCTCTAAATGTTTCTATGTTGTTCATGGACCTTTTTAACTCATGCACACCAGGTGGCATATATTCATGCCATGACACAGCCACATGTGTGAGTGGTAAGTATCCAGGCCAAGCACAGTCATGCCTGATATGGACTGAACTGTCATTTGTGTATTTGACCTTGAATGCAGTTAATGAGGAGGTACAGTCCTCGAATGTAGTTTGAAAGTTTCTTTTTATACATCATGCAGTGGGGAAAATAAGTGTCCTATATGTTGTATCATTTGTTCAAATAGCTAACTGTGAGCTTATTGTTGAGTTTGGTATGAGTAAAAGCCATCATTATTGGCTTTATATGTACAACCTATTAGGAACTAGGCTTTCCTTATTTTGCTTTTATCTATTATTTTTTTATGATATCCTGATTTCAGAGTTATAGTAAATGACATTTTCTATCAATTTTTTTATGCTAGCTGTCTTTGGATGTAATTAGCTTTCACCTTCCGTCTTCATAATATGAACATAGGCCATGTGTGACATTTGATGGCATGCAATATCTGTGTTTTTATTCACCAACTTCAATTTTGTTTTTAATCTCTGAATACAAGCCTCAAGGCTTTTGAATTTTAAGAAATGTACTGCAGAAAGGTTTAAAATTATTACCTTTTTACACATACGACAGTTAGCGTGTCTTGGGTCATTTAGGCATGAGTGGAGGCATGTACATGCAATGACATACCTCATATTACAAAGACTGCACCTTTGAGAATGAAAATTATAAACACCTAAGTTTATGTTTTTTTTTTTTCCTGTCATTTCTACTTATTCCAGATTCTCAAGTCTATGAGGGAGCAGTTTAACATGAAACCACCAAAGAATCATCAGGAAGAAGAGTCTGATAAGCTTGGCAGTTACAATGGAAAGATATTTGTAAGATGTTTAAAAGGGCATTCATTGCTCATTCTTTAAGGTCTTGTTCTGTAGCCTCTTAGTAAATAGTAAATTCCTGTCCTAATGATAAAGGAAAATGAGGTATATTGTCTGGATCTTTATTTTTACTATTACTTTACATGCAAATAGTAAGAAATTCTTTCTTTTGCAGAAGATTCTAGAGTCCATGAGAGAACAGTTTAATGGAGAAATGCCATTGAATAAGGACGTAGAAAGAAAAGAGACAGATGGAAATAGTACCAGTGAAGAGGACCTGCCCAAGCATAACAGCTCTCTCTCTGGTCAGAAAGTTCCTCCAAGGTCTAAGCAAGAAAGCCAGAGTGTAACGAGCATTAGCCCCAACATCTCCGTTAAAATAAGCAACAAGAGGAATATTATAGGTGACAGAAAAGGGGGATCTTCTGAGTGCCCAGCTGTGGCAAGGAAGACATCTCAGACAGAGAGAAGAAAAAGACAGTGCAAGGAAACATCAGTCATATAAGCAGGCATGTGTCTAAGGATCATTAGAAAGTGTTTTTAAATTAAAGGGACCCATTCCAAGGTGTCAACTCTGTGTGTGTGTGTGTGTGTGTGTGAGTGTGTGTGTGTGTGTGTGTGTGTGTGTGTGTGTGTGTGTGTGTGTGTGTGTGTGTGTGTCTCTGTGTGCTGTGTGTGTCTCTGTGTGTGTGTGTGTGTGTGTGTGTGTGTGTGTGTGTGTCTGTGTGTGTGTGTGTGTGTGTGTGTGTATGTGTGTCTGTGTGTGTGTGTGTGTCTCTGTGTGTGTGTGTGTGTGTGTGTGTGTGTGTGTGTGTGTGTGTGTGTGTGTGTATCTGTGCATGTCTCTGTGTGTGTGTGTGTGTCTCTGTGTGTGTGTGTGTCTGTGTGTGTGTGTGTGTGTCTGTGTCTGTGTGTGTCTCCAGAGAGAGTACACACCTCTCTATGTGCAAGATTTCTTAATGTGCTTTATTTTTCAAGATGCTCCTTGACTGCATAGTACATATAAAACAACAACAATAGCAGACACTGAGGGATTCCTTGTGAAAATTATTGCTGAAGCTATAGCATTGGGTCTGATTTATTTTGTAGCATTGAAGTCTTGGACCAATGTGTTTATTGAGTATTTTAAAAAATCTCTAGTTGCTGGAAGGAGGTGATATAGTCCTGGAATTTATGGGAAAGTTAATATATTGAGATAGAAATTTATGGGATATTTATTCATTGCCCAGAGGTTAGTTGATTATATTTTGATGATGGATTACATCTAAAGATAAATGAAAGTTGAAACCAAAGGATTCATGGCCAGTATAATGCATTGTAGAAAGTGAACCTGCCAGGAATTTTTTTCTTGTAAAATGTTGTGGAACCATGTGTTGTTTGCTGTGTATTTGATAGTAAGTGAAGTTACAATTTGAGTAACTTCTAGTTTTCTACAGTATATTTGCTTTTTGTTTTTGTTTTTTAAACAATTTGTTATATAAATTGTCAAATTTGTTTGTCTCATAGGGTTTGATGTCATGACATAAATTCCTCAAAGTTTGCTAAAAACTTGTATCCAACTTACCAAAAGGTATGAACTATGGATGGAATTTGATATAAAAATTGACTGCTTTTAATCCACTTGCGATGGGTATCACACATGTGATGCCTCGAATAAGGACCATGGCTGGGTGTCCCACCGGTGCGATGCTAGATTGGAGCTTGCGCTCTGATTTTGTCACCCGAGGTGGGTGGCACCTGGTCAGGTTCCCGAACTGGCCCGCGCACCAATTTTGATACAACCCGGAAAAGACCATCGTGGGTGGGTTAATTATAGGAAATACATAGCAGGCAAAAAAATGTGTAGACAAGAATATACAACTGTATAGGGATGAGATTCAAAAATCAAAAGACAGACAGAAGGACAACACAAATGTAAAGCATAGTTTAACAGTTTTTAAACCAATATCTGCCAGGAACATGTAATGTCCACTGTAGTATCATTCTGTGAAATGTTTTTACATATAGATAGTCTGATAAGTGCACCAAGGAGTCACTTAGTAAGCCTATGTGACCTCACCTGATGTCACATATTCTTGACCCCCCCCCCCCTCCCAATGCCATGCCAGTTGTTGTTAGAGGGAGGGTGGGTGCATAAGGAGACCGTCGCGCTGAATTTTTGACAAATATTTATTAGCTAGCTGGCAATTCTGCTTACTGCATCAGCTGTTAGCCACAACTAAGAGACAAGGCGGACAGTCACCACCAAAGAGTCAGAGGGAGAGGCTGTGCATCTCCTGCCTCCGTGACACCATCCCATAGACGTACCCATGATGTGCCATCATCATACACTAAGAGGACACTACTAATGATAGATGTTATTCCTGTAACTAACACAATATGATGAGAAATGCATCTAAATCACAGTCGTAGCAGTTATTTATTCGTATGAAATGCCTCACACTGGCACTGCGAAGCCTGTCATGACACACGGTACTTCTGCAATTGTGCAGTTATTGCCATACTAAAGGGGGGAACCAGGTATCAGCTACACTTCAGAATACTATGTGAATGCCATAGAATGCATCAATATTGATGCAGAGATCAGATTTCTAAAAAGAAAAGGAAAAGAAAATGGAAGGGAAAAAATGCTCAACTTCAAAGCCTGATATCTCAAAACTACACCTTTGTCAACATTTTGTCTCCATAACTACTTGGGTGATTCTAATGGGGTTTGGATCATTTGAAAGCTGAATAAATTTGCCCAAAGTGATTTTCATTTTAGGTGATAGAAGTTCATATCTTAAATTTTATTTTCATAAGACAACATTTAGAAAAAATAAATGCCCACTAAACTTAGTGGGAAATTGCAAAATCAGACTGGCTAAGATTTAGGTATTGCAAGATTTTTTTTTTTTTTTTTTTTTTTTTTTTTTTCAACAGTTTCAGTCGATGGATAAGTCTGACATAAGAAATATTGTGATTATTCAAAGCCTTGTTTATTATCCAAATGATATGAAATTTGATGGTGTAAATCTCAGTATACATATATATAACATATTAAAAAATCACAAAAGTCTGATCATATTTGACGAACTTCGTTCTTGAGCTTGAAGGCCCCCTTAAAAGATGGAGACTGAGGCCCAGTGCAGGGGATCAACTAGACTGCAGTCTTCTCTTCTTCTCCTTTCCTGTTCTATCTCTTCTCCAACCCCTTCTACTATCCACTTCCTAAGGTGCAAGAGGTGTGTTGAAAGGATGAAAGGCTGATATTGTGCCTGTCATGAAGGGCCAAGGCAAGGCACAGGCTCGGTATTCCCGTTTAGTTGTCTAGCCCATGTCCCACAAGGGGACCCTCCAGGATAGACCATTTCTTCCCCCAACATTCTCCAGGCTGACCATGACCAGTAATGAAGATTTTGTACCATTATTAGGGGCAGTGAGGCTAGTCTCACAGAACATAATCCCTCCATTTCCATGACCCATTTACTCTGATAACACTCTCCTCTTCCAGCAATGATTCCAAAAACAGGTAGGCAAAGTTTCCTTCAGCAGTTGCCCTGATCACTCCTGCCTTGTCAACATTACATCTGAATCCCAAGCTAAAGGATAATCTACTCTGAATGATTTCAATGGCAAATCTATTCATGCACAGCCTCATCATGCTCTTAATACTTGTACTGGAACTGTCTCCATCTCCCCAGCAGACTGCCCTGTCTATGACAAGAATAAGTGAAATTCTGGAGAAGACTTACTCCCCTGCTTTGTTAGCTATGATGCCGTATCAGTAAATGCTACACCATTCCGTAGAGGTCACTGTAAGTCCTCACCCAGTATTGCCAAGATTACTTTCCATTGACATGAACTCCCTCATGGCATGTATTGGTCGAGAGTCTCCTGTCTCTGATCACATCAACCCCTCCCTTGTCAGTGTCAGAATTGTTGGCGTTTAGGCCACTAGGCCAAACACTGCTGCTCTGCACAATCACGCACATGTGCCAAATGTGGAGGCTCTGATAATGTATTTTATAGGGGCTGCCCTGTCTACAATTTTGAGTCTGAGGTTGCAATTCTTAGATTCAAAAGTAGAGGCCAGACAGGAAGCACACAGACATGGTTTTTCTCTTACTCCCTACTCCACTGCTGTTCTTCGCTCCGCCCCTAAGCATTCCACCCCATCTTCTTCTGCAGTATCCTCTCCAACATCAGCCTCTTCCCCTACCACTCAAACATCTGTCCCCTCTTCTCCCCCTCATAAGAAAACCTTTGTGTTTCAGATCTCCCCAACTGACTCCACCTCAGAAAATCTTGAGGACATTCAAAAATTTCCAATCATGACCTAGGATAACATGCTTACACCTCATAAATCCTCCAATCTCTCTGCCCCCATTCCCTATACACTCAAAGTGACTGCTGACATCCATCCTCCATCCACTAACCTTTCCTTGAGCTTTCATTCCTATTGTTTGTATGGTCTTGTTATTATTATTGCCATTATGATTATTATCATGTTATGAACATTACCAGAAGCAATATTAAAATATATACTTTTTTTTCCATTAAGGGAAAGGGTAGACAGATAGGTAAGACCAGTAATTGACTCCTCGGTGACTTGACCTTTTGTAAAGCCATCCACGTGCAAAATCAATCAATAAACTAAACTTACAGTGGGTATAACATGTATGTACAGTCAACCAAACTGAAGATATCTCACTCCACAAATCTTTCGCCCAAACTGCATCAACTAGCAACTCAGTCATTGCTGCACACAAGGATGTGCCGAGTTTAAAGGTATTTTCATCTGGCCATGATAAATATAACAACATAATTGCTGGTGATTAGCATATTTTATATACCCAGATTTTTCCTACATTTTTTTCCTATTTTCAGACAAATATTTGTTTATCTGTTAGATAAGATGTTATCCCTAGGGTGAGTGAAAAAGTTTTGCTTCAAATTGTTTTGTGGTGCAGATTTTAGATAATCAAAATATTAACATAACTTTTTTATTGATATTAGAGTATTAATATTAGAATGGATGAGTTGCCAGTCCCTGTTTACACATTTAAGGTGATCAAAAGTCACAGGGAATCGAGACATCTTCACTTCAGGTGACTGTATGGACCATTCCTAGTGGCAGTGGGTCAAGTATTAGCTAAGACAGTAAGATAATAAAATCTTTAAGGCCACACCAATTTTATTTGTTGCTTCTCAGATTCACCACTTTAATTTTTTGCATTTTGAAAGAAAAAAAGATTAAGGCCGAACCAGAAGCCACTACAGGTTTTGCTTTTGCAATCCTGTAAATATTATCACTATGAAAGGCACATGCTGCCAGAAACCAGTCAAGAGAGCTTCTTTGTTGTCACATTCTAGAGGACAACCAATCAGGAAGCGTCTTATTTTTCAAAACAGTATGTGCCTCAAAAGGTTTTGTTGTGTGGTGGTTTGTGCCATTCTAAACCCTAGAACTAAACTAAACTTATAGTTTTAAACTATAAGTTTAGTTTAGTTTAGAGTTCAGTTCTAGAGTAGTTTATAGAGCATGTAGACAGTAGATCAGATCAATGTTTTCTTTGTAAAGCTGAAAGTTTTCATGCCAAAGAAGCCACAAAATGCCAGTGGAAAGGGACCCGACACAGCAAACTTTT